ACTTTTTATATCACAGAAGTTATCCAATTATTTTCGTCGATCATCAGGTGAAGCGATACTTTTTTCAAGGGACTGTATCTATGTAGTTTCCAGGGTCCTAAATGACCATTTGAAGAAGCATCTCTCACCACAGATCCTCCCAATCTTCGAGATAGTACTCCTCCTTCACGTTCTATTTCACCTATCTTTTTTCAACCTATGCAAGATCATTCTACTAGTGAAGATGACCATTCTGATGATTTTTGTGGTGATGGTGAGAACGAAATGCACCAACTGAAGTTCAACATTTTATCTCAAAGATGGAAAATGTAAATGGAAATCATATAGTTCTTCTGAGCATTCTCTTATATTAATATAATGTTCTATTAATAACTCATTTTAATATTTAAAGCTGATTTTTCTAAGATTAAAGGATCATTGATATTTAGGGTTGTTAAATGGAGCATAATGTTCTGGAATCAACCCGGGTTATGTATCACTCCATCATGGAGTGGGTTAAGATTTCTAATTTTTTGTACTAACCCAGAGCAAAATATTTTATTATAACCCAGGTTGCTCCAAATTATTTTAGTAATTTGATTATTAATCAATTAAATATTTCTAATATCTAATCTAATCATTTATTTTAATCGGTAGTACGTAAATCTATATTTAATAGTGATCGAATTTAATAATAACGAATGTTTATTTTTGTTTATTATTATAATTATTTACGCAGAGTGTTTACGATTATTTATGTGATAAAAAATATATAATAATAAAGACCTATTTTCGTAGGGGTGGTGGTCGGGTGGTGGTCGGGGGAAGAGCGGTAAAAACTAAGTTTATTTTTTGAAAATTTAATTCAAGTAAAATTTTATTTTTTTACAATTATTATTCAATTTTTAAACATTTAATAAAAGGAAATTAAATTTGGAACCAAAATATATTATATTTGATATTATTATGCAAGTTTTAAAATTATTATAATTTAAAAATCGGTATAATTTTTTTTTAAATGAGAATTATAATAATTATTACTCCACGGAGCAACACGGAGCAACCCATGGAGTATTAACCCAGTACATTTAACCCGGGTTGTGTTGTGTTAAACCTTGCTCCACAATAATATGAACCCAACCCATTATGTTCCATTAACAACCCTACATTGATATTATTGACAGTTATAATCCATGGTTTCCTTCATTTGTCTTCTATATCCAGAACTTTAGATCTAGTGTTGAATTTATTTTGACTATTTAATTTCAATTTATTCTAAATCGTTTTCAAATACTTTGTTTTCCAATTCTTTAAGCCATTTTGGTATATGACCTTACTGAGTAAAAATCTATCTACATGATAATAGGCATTTTTGAACCTTCTGTATATAGATCAAAAAACATTAGGTTTTTCTTTTTAATGTGTTATTATAATTACTATAATCTTTATATTTATTAATGGAATTTCACCAGTTTTATATCAATTATAAATACAATTGTAATTTTATTGCTATACAAAGAATTTTTGCCATCACATTATTATTGATATTTTCATGTAACCAACATTCAATTGGACCCATATTATAGAAATTTTATTAATTAATTTTTGGCTTTTGCCAATTACAAACTAATATAGCTTCAACTTCCCACAAACAATAATAAAATATATACAAAAAAAATAAATCACAACTATCAAAAATTTTAATACAAAGCAATCTACAACTTTATGTTTTGTTAATCTTTCTTTATAAATCTATTGTTAATATTAATATTGATATGTTTTGTAGATTTTTTAATAAATGGATTCATTACCATGTGCATCGTTGGAAGAATAATATATCGGCATCTGGGAGGATTGAGGCATTTTTATTTTATTTTTTAGAATTATGTTAATCAATTGATTTTATAATAATAAAACATGTGTTTTATATGGGCCTATTCCATTATATTTATATAATTTCAGTATATTAATATCATACTAATCAATACACTCTCTACTTATTCTGTTAGTATTAGTATTAATATGGCATACACGAAAAATGTACTATTACTAGGGCAGTACCCTTTCGGTATGCCACACATTCCGTATCTTGTGTTAAAAAGGGCAAATTTTCAAACCGCTAATAATAACAAGTACGTTAATTCTGTATTTATTAGAACGTACTTAATAATACGGAAATTCCGTATATTTATTACTATTATTATTATAGGTAGATTTTTGTAATGTTGAATGAAAAATTTCATTTTTATATCATGAATGACTATTGGAAATCCAATTTGATGCCACTCACAATTGTTGATATCCATCATTTTTTGAATTGCCACCAAGCACTTCTTGGAACAGTTGTTCAAAGTGCTAATTATAAATTTGTAACAGCATCCGTCTTTCCTTAAATCCTCAATTTTATAAAAATCAGACATAATCGAAGCAATCAGAGCTGAGCACGTAGCCCTAACCAGCTACTTGACTAAGCTATTAAGCCAATAGAGAATTCAGATTGGGGCGAGAAAGGTTATGGTTTTTGAAATTGCATTCAGACTCTCTTTTTCAAAAAGCCTCTACTATTTTTAACAATTTTGCTTCTTGTAACCATTTAACTAATGATAGGCAATTGCAGATCAAAGGGCACTCGATGTAAGGTTTCAAGTTCTCAAATTTTTGATTTTAACTATTTATCCATGTCAATCATTCTAATGTTCTAATTTCATATAACAGGTTACCATTCAGAGTAATCCTGGGGTATACACCCACAATTCTTTATAATACCATGGTATATATACCATCATCCACCATATGCGAACGATTTCCGGGTAGGTTACACCTTTACCCCTGTGTTCAGAGGGATACAGCTTTAGCCTGGCGAGGGATAAATATAAATACACGGATATATCTCTGATCACCTGGTCCATAGATCTTGAGTGAATTATCCGACCGATACCCAAAGATCGATAAGATTGATAAGGGGGATATCCCTCTTATATGATTTCCCAGGCTGAGGCTTTATCCCTACGAACTGAGGGATAAAGGTGTAACCTTTCGGAAATGTTCGCATGGGCTGCCATCATCACTTTAAAAAACTTTTTCGGAAAACAGTACCTTTTCATGGAAAAAGTGCTCTTTCCCTGTAAAAGAATCCGAAAAAATAAAATATCTAGAAAAATTTTTTATATATAGGGCTGGTGGTATATTAATAAATAAATGAACCAATGATTTTAAATTATTTTATCATGAAGGCGCAAACAATCTCTGTGAGAAAACCGAACCATACACAAGGACACAACAAAAGTTGCACTACAATGCCATCTGTAGGAACATGTGGTTACCTACCTTAGATTTTTAACCAAATAACAAGGGAGTCACTTGCATAGGATAATTTTATTAACATATTGAACCCAATTAATAGATTTTTGGAAATGATTTTCAAGGATGGAAAAGTTTTTTGAGTTAAAGCAGCAATTTTTCTCTATCCATGTGATTCTTTAATTTCAGTTACCATTAAAGGAAAAAATTGAGTCCTTTTATCAAACAATTGTTTGAAATCCTTCTGCAGATTTTAACACCAAATATTTTTGATTAATTAGATTATCTCTGGATTCTGTTAAATTAATTATTTTATCAATTTTGATTTGTATTGTAGGTTTTATAGTGAATTACAAAAAAAAAAATTCAGTGAAGGTAAACAATTTTGTTAATTGGGGGTCTTTTTAAAGAAAAAAGTTATGGATGTTTGCAGTTTTTTTGACATTGATAAAATATTGATTTTTGATTTCTGGTTTTTGTAAAATATAAACAAGTTATTGAGGTGTAACATAAATGTGCAGACTTTAATAACTGAATCTTAAAAACGTTTATAACTTTGGGAGCAAAAAAAAAACTAGAAATGGTTTCAATTCACAGAAACATTGTCCATAATATAACAATGCTGATTTTTTTTGTTTATCATGATTTTTTTAAAATTTGTATTAGTAACCATCTAGAATTTATGACAAAATTACATTCGCAATATAAAAAGTACGATTTCAATTTCAATAAAGTTTTTAAAATATAGCTCTTACATTGTAGAGAGAGAGATGTTCTGCGAGCTCAAAACATTTTCGAAATTAAATATTTCATCTGTATGATGATGGGCAATGACAGTTCATACAAAAGTAATTCTCTTTAATTAATCAGGAAATTGATTTGTAACTTTGAAACAAAATAGCTACAGAAAAAATAAAAATATTTTTAACTTTTAGAAATCTTGTCTAAAATGTAACGTAGCTGGTTTTTTTGTTTATTATGATAAAAATTACATTTGCAATATAAAAATACATCAACGTTAATGAATATTTTTAAAAATATAGCAACGTTACATTGTAGAGACATGTTCCGCGAGCTCAAAACATTTTCCAGAATTAAAAATTCTCGCCTGGCAAGGCTTTAACAATCGGAAACTTAAAGCGTTTATAACCTTGGAAAGCAAAATGGCTACAAAAAAGTTTTAATTTCTAGAATCTTGTCTATAACGTAACAACGCTATTTTTTTATAGGTATTGACAGTTATTTAGAATTAAGTATATCAATATTATATTCATAAATGTGACTATTGTGTTACAGAGAAAATGTCTTGGCAGGACCCGGGGTCCTGTCTCGGCAGTTTATGCAAAGGCGATTTTCTTATTTAATCTTAAAACGTTTATAACCTTGGAAAGCAAATAGCTAGAAAAAAAATGAAGTGTTTTTAATTAATAAGAACATTAACTATAAACGTAACAATGCTATTTTTTTCGATTATGATTTTTTAAATTTTGCATTAGTAGGCATCCAGGATTTATGGCGAAAATTTCATTTTCGATATGAAAGTACATTAACATGTATCTGTTACATTTTAGATGCATATTCTGCAAACTCAACCCGTTTTTCATAATTGAAAAATCTCATCTTTATGATGAGTTATAACAGTTTACGTTTCTTTAATTAATTAAATTTATGAAAATGATCGACAAAATTAGGGTTTATTATTTTCCCTTATGATCATACTACTTATATCTAACGCCCGGTTGTAAGTGAAGTTAGCCAATCAGAACTTCATACCCAAACACACTTTTATTATTATTATTATTATTATGAATTTCAATTTCACACACAACAACCCCAAAGGGTTTATGGCTGGTTTTTTTGATATTAAAGAAAGAATTATAGAATGATCTGCATTATTTTACAGATCCACTAAACTTGAGTCATATTAATATTAATATATTAACTATCTGGTCGCGGTATGCCCCAATAATAAAAAAAATTAAAAAAAAAAAATATTTACACATGAAAACCTCATATAAACATCTGAATATAATATATGTGTGTGTGTATGATGTTCTCATTCTGGGGGAAATTGATATACCAAACGGTAAATGGAGAAAGAAAGAGTGCAATAAATATTTATCAATTCATATACATATTATATTACATGACTGATAAGTAAAAAATTCATGGTTTGTTATTGATATTTATTGGTAACTAACTAGCTCATCCATCTTTTGGTAACATCTCCCAACCAAACTACAACATTCATTACATATTACTGGTTGATTGCATGGTTAATATTAACTTTAATAATAATTTGTTACGATTTCGGTCGACGCCTACAATTTTCTAAAATGGATAATTTTTTGTTTTTCAAAAAAAAAAAAAAAAAAAAAAATTTTTTTGTGTGGAACTAAATGATTGGATGTGATTTGTGCGTTATATATATTTTTTTTAAAAAAAAAATTTAATTTAACGAATCATTAAATTAGTAACTAGTATTAGTATACGACACACCCAGATTTTTTTTTTACGACGAATACTAATTAATATTAATTATTTTATAATAATAATGAGGGATGACAATAAACGGAAATATTAGTTTTGAATGATAAATAAATAAATTCCCTTTCACAACATATATAAGCAACATTTATTTATTTGTATATGCTTTTTAAAGGAAAAAAAAATTATGTCAAATTATAAATTAAATTAAAAAATATTAATTAATTGTATTAATTTAGGAATAACAATCAATTGAATGGTTATTGATTTTATATATATGCATGTCTTTTTTAGTGTTGTAATGTTTGTTTGTTTAGATTAAAAAAAAAACAATAAGAATGATTGTGTGAGAATAGAAATTTATATAAAAGGAAAAATGCGCGAGTAGAATACGAGAGAAGAAGAAAATGATGCGCGAGTAGAATAGTAATTGGAAAAAAAATTACTATTGTATTAATGGTTACTGTTACCCGGGCGAAAAATATGTGCAAGCATGTATGCATGTATATGGTAGACAGGATAATCTTTAAAATTAAAAATTAAATTCAAGGATTATGCCTGCCAACTATATTTTACATAATCTATCTATAAGTGATAATTATGATCGAATTATGAGTCAATCATTTTTTCGTTAACCTTCAAAATCTACATTTTTTTATTTAAATCATGTGACTTGGTGGAAAATTATCGAAAAAAAAAATTACAATTTTTTATTTCCTTAATTGAATCAAACTAAGGAATATTACATACACAGCATAATAAATAATATGTCGTGTACCTTTTACTTATTTCCATATTTATCCATTATATAATGCGTAATAAATAAAAAAAGTAAATTTATGTAAGGTGATAATAATTTTTAGATCTAATCTTATCAAATTCAAATTTTTATCAATAATCAACAATCACACGAATTTTAATTATAAATAAATATTGACGACGACACGATAAATTTTAATATGGGGATTAAAAATGAGGCTTAGGTGAATTATAAAAAATTATCTAATTTGTTTAAAATTCAGAGTTTATTTTTCACACGAACTTTTTTTTTTTGCTGTGGTATTTCATATCAGCGAAGAAAAAAAGATCGTACGTAATCTAATCTTTTGATAATGATTGTGGCGATGATGATGATAAATTATGACACGTTTTCTATTATATTTATTTATATATCGTCATAACATATATGTAATTAATTAATTATATACTGCCTATTATTATTGATCAACTACGTCAAAAAACTTTGGACGGGGCCGAATTTAAAATAAACAAGTAAACAAGCAATGCAAAACAAACAATGCAGAGAGTAAATACATAGAAAGAATAATTAATATTTTCACCTTTGCAATCTTCTTTTTGACTCACAATAATAATAAACAATAATGGTCAAACTAAATAAGTAAATAGTTATGGCGCCTTGATTCTCTTGTTAATCGTTTTTAATAATAATTAATAATAACATTATTAATAATATTAACATCATTAATAATATTATTATTTACAATATTATCTCGATTGATTGATTGATTGATTATAGTTATAAATAATTATTTTGATTGTTTACTCGCCTCCGCAATTTTTTTTTACTTTTCTTGTAAGAAACTACCAAAAACAACCAAGTAAATAAATAAATGGATGGAGGATAATAATAATAAATAAATAAATCGAGGATTTTTTATAATACGAAAGGCTTCCATTGTTTTCAATTCGCCTGATTCTTGATTTCTTGATTTCTTGTGATTTTTTACTCGTTCTACCCCCATAATTTCAGTTGACCAAATTTATTCATTCCAAATAAATAATCCGAGACGGCAAAATTATTTTTTATAATAATAATAAAATAGACAATTATGGATTTTAAATTTATTTATGGCGTCTTTTTTTTTTTTATATATATATATATATTTATATTAAAAAAAATTTTTTTTTTCCTAATTATTTTGTGTGTGAGTATATTGGTGTTATATATTCGTAACATACTGTATATAATATCCCATATAAATATAGACTATCTATTTATACAGTAGTACGTACATGTTTATACATGTTACATACATATACACACACATATATATATATACTTAAATATATGAACTCAAAACATCATTATATGGATTATTTGCTTAAATTAAAACATAAAATTCAAGGAAGAAAGGAATATTATAAAAGAAAGGATCAAATAACATCATCCCACCAAAATTCGATTCGTTGTTAACTAGATAGAAAAAACGCATATGCGTACACACACAAAAACATACAAACTTTCTTCCACTGATTCAATTTTAAATTTTCAACCAATCAGATTCGTGTGAAAGAACATTCGCGAGAAACCTTTAAAAAAAATTGGGATTTTTAAAGTTTTAGACTTAATTTTATTTGTACGTAATCTTAATAGATTTTGATTAACTATTATTGATAATAATTGACAAGTTAAAATCAAGATAAAATTATCTTACATATTATTATATATACGTTACAATTAAAAGTAAAATCTGATAAAATTATCTGGTACACACACACACACACACACACACACATATTATGTTAATATAGTCGAGTAGTTAAAATTATACTTTTTTTTTAATTTATAATACGTAATATATATATATATAATATATACTAGTAATAGAGAATAGACATATAGAAAAATCATCAATTATATATATATTATTTAATACATATAAATTATACACACATATTCATTACAGCAATATACAGCAACATCATTATATTACCCCTCTCGTAATATTACTTTTTTTATAAGAAATCTTTATTTGGCGTATGTCATCCATTATATATTTTTTTTTTCATGATTATTATTATAGTAGAGGAAAAAAACTTTTTATTCAACAAATTTATTATATAAATATAAAAAAGTTCACCCATTCATTATTTCTCTAATTCATTTATTCTTTTTAAAATCAAATTAAAACAATCGAGCACATTAATTAAATTTAAATATAGTCAGTCACTCTCTCCACAGTTTCCACCTTTTATTTTCCCACTTTCTTTTCTCTTTGCACTTACACCGCTAACTACAATTATACCCCATTGTTCTCTCACATAAATATAATTACATATTTATTTATCAATTACATATTTATTTATAACCGAAAAATTTTCTTATATATACACAGTTCTTTTTCTTTTTTTCTTTTATTTTTAAAACTGATTTTTTATTTAAAATAATAAAAAGAAAGAAAGAGAAGGCCAAAGCTCAAATCTATTTTATAAACAACAATCTTTTTGATCAATCACATTACACATTGTTCATTATATATCACAAGGATTCATTAAATATATCAACAAATCGTCAATAAAAATCTTTTATTTTTATTTTGGAGATCTTTTCAAACGTGTTGTTTATTATTTTACAAATTAATCTTGAATAAAAATAATAAAAATGGATCATACAATTACTTTCGCTCTCAATAAATTATCCTTAAATCCAGCACCTGCGTCACCAACTGCTGCTAATAATTTTAATTCAGGTAACTAAAATCATTACTTATTTATCATATAAATTGTCATTATCGTATTATTATCATCATAATATTTATGATTAAGTGTAACAAATATTATTATATATTTATTTTTATCTTATCTTTTTTACAATTTTTAATATTTATCTTATCTTGAGTTACTCTGCATCCAACCAAAATCAAAAAAAATTTTTTTGTTTATTTTTTATTTTTTACTGTGTTTGTGTAATTCTACCCACAAAATTCTTTTTCCTCATTTAGAATTAGAAATTATCCTTAATCGCAATAATAAATGGATATAATAATAATAATAATAATAATAATTGATAATGAAATAAATAAATGTTTATTTATTTGTTTATTTATTTTTTTAAATAATCACTATAATACAATCATATATTCATATTATATCATATTAATTAATATAATAAAATTTGTTTATATATAAATGTAGATTTTACGATGATGCCTTCTAACAAAAATTCATTTTTCCCTACACAACAAATATTATCTCCACCTCCCTCACCAGACTCTCAAATACAGTTAATTCATTATTTACAACAACAATATCAACAACAACAACAACAACAACAACAACAACAACAACAACAAGAAATGCATTTGCAAGAGAATCGTGACGGAGAAAATGCTGTTACTCACGAGTCTTTAGGTGAATCACCTTCAGCATTAGTTAAAAAGTTTAGAAATAATCCATGGGTGACGAAATTTATCAATGAACTAGCAATACAAGAATCTGTTAACCCCAACGTCATATCAGCTTTATTACAAACAATTTATTATGATGGTGCAAATTCTCTAGCCGTAAGTAGTGTATTTTTGGAAATTAATAATAATAGTAATATTTATGATAATATTTATAATAATAATATTATTTACACATTATATACACATATATATAACACACACACTTGTACAAATATGCATTTTTATATTTCATAGATTCCACACACATCATACTCACAACTACCATTTGTCTCGAAAGACATCGTTAGGATAATTGAGACATGGCTAACAGAAAATTTTTCACGGGCTGGCGATTCAATTCCAATATTAGGGAATACCTTGGAAGATAATGTAGAAAGTATCAATCAGAGATTAAGGGCCGGTAGGTTTTTGAGAAATAATTTCTGCGGGAGGGTATTTTTTATAAATGAAAGAAATTCAATATTTAAATATCATTGTTATTGTTATTATAGAGCTGGATTTTTCAGGACTGAATAAAGTATTAGTAAATATCAGAGCTGGCCATTCATTTTTCTCTCATATGGAGGGCGACGAAATCGTTCTTGATAAAAACCAAGTAGAGTTCTTTTCCCGCGTAAGTAAATTAATTTTATTTAAAAATTTGGAACAATATTCACGAAATGAATAATCAAAAATGATTTAAAATCATTAGAACAATTAGAATAGTAATTTCAGGAATTTTAAAAAAAAAATTTTAAGAAATAATATAATCGAAGTATATATTTTTGGCATTATTATAATCGAACGATGTGGTACTCGTTTGTAAATTAGATTTTTTTTTCACGATTTATATTTGTAGATTTTTTTTTTTATCGAAAAATTATAATGTCTATGGGGGGGAATAGTAATAATAAGTTTTCAAAAAATTTCTTTATTACCAAAAAAAAAAAAAAAAATAACAAACTAACAATCAACTTACTTATTTATTTTTATATAATTATGATAGTTCCCGCTATTTGTTACGATATTTATTAAAGTGGAAGCGAAATCAACCTACACTACTAATGAAGAAAAGTGTCAAGTGTTAGTAGCTGTTGAACATGTCACCAAAAAGACACAATTTGCATCCCCTCTATCATCAAACAACAACAACAATAACAATAACAACAATGATTTAATTACCTTATCACCGGATGGACAAATCCTCTGCTCGTTGGAGGAGATGTCTAACAATTATCATTGTTATTAGATCAAACAGACATCAAAAAGTAAAGGAAGGGTAATTTGTTAACAAATAGAGCTTACCTTCTTATAATCTAAGGGTGGAGAAATAAATTGTGATGTAAAGAAGAGAAATTAGTAACATAACACATCAATAATATATTAATATTAATAATAATAATAATAATAATAATAATAATAATAATAATAATAGTAATAATAATAATAATAATAATATTAATAATAATAATAATAATAGTAATAATAATAATAATAATAATAATATTATAATAATAGACATTACATTAATTGAAAAAAATCCTCACTCTCATTATAATTATATTTTAATATATTTAAGGAACTTATTAAATTAATAATTAATTACCTTAAATTATTTTCTTATATATTATTATTATTTTTACTTCCTTTTTTCATTTTTTAAAAAAGGCGAGGGCAAATTAGATCTTTCATTTTGTTAATAATTTTGAAAAATAATTTCGATCCCTCGCCTAAAAAAAAGAAAATTTAAAAATTATATAATATTTATTTATATAATATTCATATTTTTTTATCGTATTGTGGTGGTGATGATGATTTTGTTTTGAAAAAATCCAAAACCTGATAAACGAAAAAAAAGGGAATGGTAAGTTATCGAATATTTATTTATTTATATCATATTTTATATCATATTGGAATTAATTTGATTTCATTAATTAATAATTTCTTAATTTTTTTTTATTTATCTAGATCGATAAAGTTTTATGAGATATATTTATATATTTTTTTTTTATCTCTACAGTGGGTTTACTTATATTTATGCAATTTGAAATTTACTTTATATTTTTTATTATGTTTAAATTAAACAATCAATCAATTAAATTATAAGATCCAAATTTAAGAAAATAAATGACAATTTAAGATTAGTGTATATTTTATTTAAGATAATGTAATGATATTTATTTAATATATCTAAGATTTTAATTTTTAATTTCAAAATAAATAAAAATTCTTTATCATCATTCATCTTCATTGATCAAAATAAGTAAAGCATTTCCGCGAATAAATTAAGTTTTTTTTCACTATTCGTTCATTTAATTTTTTTAAATATTAATTTATACGTACACACGCACACACGCACCCAACAATATCACACACACATAACACGTCAAATTAACACTATTTGTTCTCACCCTTATACTGCATATTAATGACTTTATGAGATTACCATAATAATATAATTGCGTTATAAGAATTAGTTCTTTTAACACAAAGTCTGCATAACAATAATAATTAATACTCTGAACAATTGACACTTCTCTCTTCTTTTCTCTATTTAGACTTGACTTGATTAAAAAAAAAATTTTTTAATTAATTAATTAATAATTCAAAAAAAATTTTTTTTCTGTACTCTACTCACGCGACCTCTCAATTTCATAATAATAATGCACCAATAATGCTGCACATTATCTAAATTAATCTATTTTTTTTTAAAAAAAAGACATTAATTCACCTCACGCGACCCTTTTCGATGAGAGAAATAAGAAAAGATCTTCCTTCCTTCGTTCTTATTGTTTGGTTATGTATTACTTTTAATAAGAAAGGTTTAGACTAGCAGTTATTTGACATTTTTATTTGTTTTTTTTTTGATCATGGAGATAACAATTAATAATTCCATCATTCAATAATATTGTCATGATATCATATGTCATTAACGAAACGACTGATCATGTAATAGTCTCATGGACAATAATTAAAAATATGACTCGAAAGAAAACATAGTAATAAGAAACGACGTTATTATTATTTATTATTCCGTCAATCAATCACATAATTATTTTATTTATTATTTATTGAGTTAAGTGATTTTTTATTTCGGTCATGAGTTCAACAATAAAAAAATTATTATTATTATTTGACAACATCACATGCTCAAATTTCTCACGAAGATCATCACCATCCACTTATTAGTGCTAGTGTGTATCTTCCTGCTAACCAGTTATAAAATATGATTACGTATATTGCCATTATCTTTCAAAAATCCGGATATTACTGCATCAATGATATTCAATGAATTTATGAATTTTGGTTTGTTTGTTTGTTAGCATGAATCGATACCAATAATTAATATCCACATTTCTCTTTTATAGTTTTAGTTTCTACACAAAAAAAAATTTTTTTTAAACGGTGTGGGAAATTATGAACTTCTGAATATAGCAAAAAAAAACCGTTTGATTCTATAGGCGATAATATATAATAACAAAACCATCATTATAGAGTAGATCAGATTTTTAATATATTGATTGTTACTATGAGCATTATTGTTATTGTTCTAATTTTGGCAAATATAATAATAAAAAAATATTCTTGGATTAATGGTTTGTTAATTTTCTTTAGTACTGTTTTTTTCTTTTGCCTTTTTTTGCCTTGTCTTTATCATCATCATCAGAACTCAAATTTCCTTCTCGATCATTTGCTTTTGCTTAGGAATATTATTAACATCAACAGTAACAACTTACAACTCTTTTCTGTTAATCAAAGCAACAATTGACAGGCTCGTCTTTGCTTTTTTTTATCTTCTAATGGAAAAAATGTTACGGCGATCGAAATCGTGTGTATTTGGTGAAACTGCACGCGTGTCCTATAAGTAATATATTCTAGATCATCAAAAAACAGCTAATATAACAACATACTTGTCTAAGGAATCATCGTCTTCTTCAATTGGAAAAAGTTCACGAGTGTTCATAAGAAGAATTAAAGGGGGTTTTTTACGTTTGAATTTTTTTCATGTGATGTGGGTTAAAAACATATACTGGGCAATAAATAATGACATTTTATTGGTATCATGTGAAATTTGAAGATCATTCTTTGATTAAATTTCCGAAAAGTATATTAAAAATTGGCACATCATTAACCATTTAACCGTTTAACCGGTTAATAATATTAATATTTCACTACTTGGACATCTGAAAGTGACATACGGTTGATGATTTTATTCAACAATCTCAAATGAAATCATCTTTGCCAAGCTATATTTTAGAATGGTAACCTTTTGAGCAATTTAGAGATATAACCAAATTGACTCAAGGCGTGCATTTACACTGTTGCACGAGCAAGAGGAAGAAATAATTGATTATGATGAAATAAAAAAGAATTTGGTTATTTAGGAAGAAAGTGTAATAGTAATATTAAAATGTTTAAATAATTCAAGTAATTCAGAAAAAGTTTTTTGAAGAGGTTGTAGTTTAAAAAATAAATATTAATGAATTTTATATCTAATTACGGGCAATGAACTATTGTGAAATTAAATTGTTACTTGCAGTGCATGGCATAATTAAATTCAAAGTGTTTTAATTATTTATGTTCCAGAAGGAAATTCAAAGGATTATTATTTACAAAAAAATATTCTAATTTAACATTGAAAAAGATAGAATTAAATTTTTAGATATCCACCTTTTTTAAGAATACTTATTAAAAAATGGAGGATAGCCAACAAAATATATTTTTACTTTTTACTTTTTCCTAAAATAAAGGATTAATTGGAGTGAAGTGTTTGGATACAAACTCTGATCGACTACTTTCATGCATATTAAATAGATTTTTAATTTAATTATTTATTTTTAATACATTGCTCATTTCAATTATAATTAATCTCATTTTATAATCAATTGATGATAACAATAGTAGTATCAGTAATCAAATGATATTGTTTTCATGATTGGCCCATTCAATCAAAAATCTATGTTCTTTATATAGTTCTTTATTAGTACCAGGACTTGGAAATCTAATAATTACCCTTGCATAAATGTTATTACCCTTTCCAATTCAATTATTGTTGTTGTTAGTAAATAGATTATAATTTATAGTTATAAATTTTGCAAATAAATATAAAATATGTACCTTGATTATGTTAGATTCCATTATTCTCAATTTTTCTACAATTTCTGTTAAAGGAGGTAGTGTAAATTTTTTAGGTGAAGACGATGATGATAAACCAGCATCCAATTTTGATTTATTGAATATTGAATAAGTGAGTCGACTTTTTTATTAATTGAAAATTATTAATTGTTTGATTATTAAATAAATCATCTTTCATTAATAAAAAAAGATCATTACGTTGAACTCCTGTCTTTCAAATCTTGAACCAATGCTTCCACATGTTCTAAATCAGGGTCTATTATTATCTGTTCATTTATTGTCTCAAAAATCAATTCACAACATATATTTGAGATGGGGATTGGACTTTTATTAGAAATAGTGATCAATAATAAACCAGAATAATTTTTTTCGTTATATTCTAAATGTTGAACTTTTTATAATAATAATAATCATAATAATATAAATAATATAATTATTGTAATGATTGTAATGATTAATTATATTAAGTCTATATTTCTACTAATAATGTACTTACAAATCTGAAGATTTGACAAAAGAAATTGTTCCATTGCAGAATTCATTGTTTTTATCATCTCAAAAGATTTACTTAAACTTGAGGCTAATGACTATTCGCCTCATTTTTAATTTAGGCATGATAATAAATAAATACATAATAATTATAATAATAATAATACATTCTTGAAAAGATATGATCACTTACCGAATAAACTGCGCCAAAAGTATTTTGCATACTTGCAACGTTATTTTCTAGTACTTTTACAATATCATTCCTAATTATTATTATTGTTTTTATTTATTCGAGTGAAAAAAAATTATTATGATACAGACGCGTTATCTATCAAATTAAAACAATCGAGCACATTAATTAAATTTAAATATAGTCAGTCACTCTCTCCACAGTTTCCACCTTTTATTTTCCCACTTTCTTTTCTCTTTGCACTTACACCGCTAACTACAATTATACCCCATTGTTCTCTCACATAAATATAATTACATATTTATTTATCAATTACATATTTATTTATAACCGAAAAATTTTCTTATATATACACAGTTCTTTTTCTTTTTTTCTTTTATTTTTAAAACTGATTTTTTATTTAAAATAATAAAAAGAAAGAAAGAGAAGGCCAAAGCTCAAATCTATTTTATAAACAACAATCTTTTTGATCAATCACATTACACATTGTTCATTATATATCACAAGGATTCATTAAATATATCAACAAATCGTCAATAAAAATCTTTTATTTTTATTTTGGAGATCTTTTCAAACGTGTTGTTTATTATTTTACAAATTAATCTTGAATAAAAATAATAAAAATGGATCATACAATTACTTTCGCTCTCAATAAATTATCCTTAAATCCAGCACCTGCGTCACCAACTGCTGCTAATAATTTTAATTCAGGTAACTAAAATCATTACTTATTTATCATATAAATTGTCATTATCGTATTATTATCATCATAATATTTATGATTAAGTGTAACAAATATTATTATATATTTATTTTTATCTTATCTTTTTTACAATTTTTAATATTTATCTTATCTTGAGTTACTCTGCATCCAACCAAAATCAAAAAAAATTTTTTTGTTTATTTTTTATTTTTTACTGTGTTTGTGTAATTCTACCCACAAAATTCTTTTTCCTCATTTAGAATTAGAAATTATCCTTAATCGCAATAATAAATGGATATAATAATAATAATAATAATAATAATTGATAATGAAATAAATAAATGTTTATTTATTTGTTTATTTATTTTTTTAAATAATCACTATAATACAATCATATATTCATATTATATCATATTAATTAATATAATAAAATTTGTTTATATATAAATGTAGATTTTACGATGATGCCTTCTAACAAAAATTCATTTTTCCCTACACAACAAATATTATCTCCACCTCCCTCACCAGACTCTCAAATACAGTTAATTCATTATTTACAACAACAATATCAACAACAACAACAACAACAACAACAACAACAACAACAACAAGAAATGCATTTGCAAGAGAATCGTGACGGAGAAAATGCTGTTACTCACGAGTCTTTAGGTGAATCACCTTCAGCATTAGTTAAAAAGTTTAGAAATAATCCATGGGTGACGAAATTTATCAATGAACTAGCAATACAAGAATCTGTTAACCCCAACGTCATATCAGCTTTATTACAAACAATTTATTATGATGGTGCAAATTCTCTAGCCGTAAGTAGTGTATTTTTGGAAATTAATAATAATAGTAATATTTATGATAATATTTATAATAATAATATTATTTACACATTATATACACATATATATAACACACACACTTGTACAAATATGCATTTTTATATTTCATAGATTCCACACACATCATACTCACAACTACCATTTGTCTCGAAAGACATCGTTAGGATAATTGAGACATGGCTAACAGAAAATTTTTCACGGGCTGGCGATTCAATTCCAATATTAGGGAATACCTTGGAAGATAATGTAGAAAGTATCAATCAGAGATTAAGGGCCGGTAGGTTTTTGAGAAATAATTTCTGCGGGAGGGTATTTTTTATAAATGAAAGAAATTCAATATTTAAATATCATTGTTATTGTTATTATAGAGCTGGATTTTTCAGGACTGAATAAAGTATTAGTAAATATCAGAGCTGGCCATTCATTTTTCTCTCATATGGAGGGCGACGAAATCGTTCTTGATAAAAACCAAGTAGAGTTCTTTTCCCGCGTAAGTAAATTAATTTTATTTAAAAATTTGGAACAATATTCACGAAATGAATAATCAAAAATGATTTAAAATCATTAGAACAATTAGAATAGTAATTTCAGGAATTTTAAAAAAAAAATTTTAAGAAATAATATAATCGAAGTATATATTTTTGGCATTATTATAATCGAACGATGTGGTACTCGTTTGTAAATTAGATTTTTTTTTCACGATTTATATTTGTAGATTTTTTTTTTTATCGAAAAATTATAATGTCTATGGGGGGGAATAGTAATAATAAGTTTTCAAAAAATTTCTTTATTACCAAAAAAAAAAAAAAAAAATAACAAACTAACAATCAACTTACTTATTTATTTTTATATAATTATGATAGTTCCCGCTATTTGTTACGATATTTATTAAAGTGGAAGCGAAATCAACCTACACTACTAATGAAGAAAAGTGTCAAGTGTTAGTAGCTGTTGAACATGTCACCAAAAAGACACAATTTGCATCCCCTCTATCATCAAACAACAACAACAATAACAATAACAACAATGATTTAATTACCTTATCACCGGATGGACAAATCCTCTGCTCGTTGGAGGAGATGTCTAACAATTATCATTGTTATTAGATCAAACAGACATCAAAAAGTAAAGGAAGGGTAATTTGTTAACAAATAGAGCTTACCTTCTTATAATCTAAGGGTGGAGAAATAAATTGTGATGTAAAGAAGAGAAATTAGTAACATAACACATCAATAATATATTAATATTAATAATAATAATAATAATAATAATAATAATAATAATAATAATAGTAATAATAAT